GACATTTGAAGCTTGTATAACATTATAATAACTTATTCTTTACTTTGTATGTTGTAGTTGTACATTAAATGTGCATTGAATGTTTCAACTAAAAGCCTAACTCTAGCAGAGAAGTCCATTAGCCTGTACGCTGCCAAGCTAGCTGATTTAAACTATAGACCACTGCCACTTCTTACTAAGGAGATTTATTTCCCCTAATGCAGGCGCAGAATATTTGTGCAGGGTGGCAGTCAGTTGTGGTCTTTGGAATGTATTCAGTATGGATTTACACAGAAGATGTGATGCGAACGTGAGCTGATGGAAGGCCCTGGTTGGCTCTAGTTCTTTAACGTTGGATTGGTGTGTCAGGGCCAGGGATGTTCATGGATAGTACTTGGTTAACCATTCAAAGTGCTAGTATTCAAACACTGAAATCACAGGAAGATTTAAAATATACTGGCTGTTGTACTGGTTAGCTGCAGTGTTAGCTTATTGGCTTGTTTCAAGGGGTCAGCCTTATTTTTTTCCTTTTTTGTTTGTGCTTTATTTTTCCCTTCCTTGTGGTTATTCAAACATCCATTGATTAACTATTATATCAACATTAGCCAAAATGCACATCTCTAGAGTACATATCAGGGCCCTAAGAGAGACCAGTGGGAGAATTTGTAATACACATTATCATCATGCAATTGGCAGCTGATCATGGCAGGTAAAGGTTAGAGTAATTACTGTCCTGCTAATAATAAAACACTGATATAGGCAACATGTGCTGCGTGCAGTAGTGAAGGAAAGTCATGGCTTCAAATTTTGTTAGTTGAAGTGAGATTCAGAAAGCATTGAGAAATGATTTGATTGCATGGAAAATGCAGGGTTTACATGACATAATGGAAACAATAGAAAATATGAACATATCATTTACAACAAGAGGGACTGCTTTTTCTCTGCTGAGCAGCTTCAGTTGTCCTTGATCTGCTTTTGTGCACATTTTGAACAGTTTATATTGGGAAATGGGCTTATTCTTGAAGAAGTGCAGGCACACCATCATGTTGAATGTATAAGAACAGGCTGGGTGGTTGAAGGTTTCCTTCAGCGTCCTCTAAAGTAAACTTATCCAGATGTTACAGGCAACATATGCTGCATGTTTTGTGTTAATTATACCCTTTTTAAAACATTAACTTTTGTTTTAATGTTGTCTAAATGGTGGCCTTATCATAAACATTAACTACATGAAGCTAATTATGCACAGTGGTTGTTGCAGGGGTTGGGTCAGGTGGGTTAAATTAAGTTCTGTGGTCATCAGATTTTTTGGCAGCGGAGACTTTTAAATGTGCTTAAGTGTTTTTGTTGTTGTGTCCATGGTAGGGTTGTGAAAATGTACTGCATTGTAATGAAGGTGGTGATTCAAATGCATTTGTTATGCTTTTTTTAACGTAAAAATGTACAAATGTACAAATGGTGTGTTGGATATATTGTGTGTGATTTGACTTTTTCAGGCTTATCATGGTCTCTGTGTTATAACAGAATCCATATCAGGGGACACTTACTTCTCACCCCTGCAATGAAATTGTGCTCTGATTTTGTATGAAACGACTCCTCTGCATTTGCCTTGACTGAGAGCCAAGCATTTCTTCCCGGTGGGGCTGGGAATCCAAAAAGAGTTGATTTTCTTCTTTTTTAGGGATTTTGGTCGAAAGTCTGTGCAAACTTCAAAGCTTTGGGCTCAATTTCAAAAGTTTGCCTGCACCCATGTGCACCCAGAATGTGAAAATTTCTGCTGTTACTGTCTAGACAAAGCGTTCTCAAACTTTTCGACCTTAAGGCCCACCTATTTATCAGAAAAAATAAAGCAAAGCCCCCAGGAAAACAACTGTATTTTCTGCTTAAAAAATTGTTTTTTGGGAAATGTTCAACCCTGTATTTGGGTGCCTACCCTGCAATATGCAGCATGTATCAGTTGGTAAATTAAGGCCACTTTCACGTCTACTTTGTTTCATGAACTTTTGAACTTTTTCTTTAGTTGGGTCCATTTTGACAGGTGTGAACATTCCATCCATACTCGGGTGTGCACTAAACAAATGCAACAAAAATCACGCATCTCAGTTTGCATCCACATGCATTCTGTTGGTGGGAATGCATTTTTGTCTTTTGCATTTTTTTAGCATCAGAGCATGCTTTTCTGCTTCTTGTTGGAGCACATTAGTGCTATATTGTTTTGACGTCTAACTCTTGACAGGCTCTCATAATGTTCTTATAGCAGAAGCAGCAGATGAGGAATACAATAATAGTGAATCTTCAAATTGACAAACCAATCATAAAAATACAGGCATAAAGGTAATAAGATTTATTGTTATTGCTTTGACTGTGAAACACAGACATTAAGCATTTCTATTTGCAAAGTAGGAGTTCTTTGGTTCAAATTGTGGCAAATGTGAGAGTAACAGAGCCCTTGAATCCCTGACCAATAAACAAGAAATCATATGTGTAATTTGGTGCACTTTAGCCATTGTAGTGTGAGACCAACTGAACCAAATGAGAAAGATGCAATCTCACAAAAACCCAAACTTTGGTGCAGACTTCAGCAAATAAATTGGGTGTGAAATGTGAAATATTCTACAACACTTCTGTTTTATGGCAGTTACTCACAAGTGGACAACTGAAAGGTGAATGTTTTTTTTTTTTTAGAGGAAAGGGGCAAGAAAACTAATGAACCTGCTTTTGTGAGTCTTATTGTTTACCATTTGAAAACATTTTCATATTTCTTTTTTATTGTTAAGTCAGTTATTTTGTTCATTGATTTTTATGATGAAGTGCAATCACAGGCCTACCGTGGACCGCTGACCCCGCCCTCAGTATTGGACTGAGGACCACGAAGTATTGCTTCACGACCCTGCTGTAGTCACTTAGACACCTTTCTGAAAAATGCACCCTTCCACATCAGTACACAAAGTTGCTTAGAATCATTGTGTTTGAATATCTGTGTTAAAAGCAGAACGTTCTGATTTGCTGGTCGTGCTGCGTTGCTCAAAATTCTAGCTGACTTGCTCACTGGTAGTTGCCCAGGCTCAGCTACAGATATGGGAACTGTGGGCTGATGCTGATATCCAATGTTTTGATGTACATATCTGCCAGTACATAAGCATTTTTAAATGAAAGAAATTGAAACTAGATCTGTCTGGATTAGCACCACCTTTGCACAGTAGTGGCCTGTTGTGAGTACATTCTATGTACATTTTGAATTATTTGTTGAACTATTCCTTTAACACAGATTTGAAATATGAACACAAAGTTTAGATTGATTTGTTTACCCGTAATCTATTGGTGTTACAAATCAATGTCATCTTTCCAGTACCAAGAGTCATAAAAGTGGTGTAAAAGCATTTCTTTCAAAAATATTCAGAAAGTTCATTTTGCTCATGTAGTCACCAATTAAGTAAATGCAGTGCACCGTTTTCAAGCCATCATTCATTCAATGTCAAATGATCTGTCTAATGGTTGCTACATGTTAAAATTTGCTGCTAACTAGGACAGAGGAACTAGTTAGCATTAGCTTAGCTAGCATGATAATAGCTCTGCTCACTATAGACCAACACAGACTAACTAGAGCACACAAGACAAGTTAAATTGATAATGTTTCAAATCTGAGTGAGTGAAGTCAGGCAGCTGGTGCCGAAGGAACAGAAAAGTCAAATGAAACCTGTTTAAACCTGACAAACTTAACATTAGCTTAGCGAGCAGGCTACAGACCCAAACAGTGCTGCCACACTGCAGTCCGGTTTGATTCTGATTAACTAACTCTGCTGAAACGTGTAGATGTTATAAAAATGAATATCTGAGAGAGCAAAATTCGGGTGTTGGAGTGACTTAAAGACAAATTTGAGCTTGTTCTCTGGTGTTTGGGACTGTAATGTTTTGGCTAAGGTAAAGATAGCAGACAGGTTCCAGCTAACTGGTGGTAAAATTACACCCATATAGAGGGTATCTGAGAGCACAAAGTCGACTGACTGGTGTTGGAGTGAAAGCAGAAATCGATTGTGTTCTGTGTAGCTCTTGGCCATCGCTGAGCTGCTATCATGCTTAGTTTTTTTGAGGTATTTCCTCGCTCTGATTTTTGCCCTCTTTCTATAAGTGCAACCTCTCAGTGAGCTCCAACCCCACCAATCAGTGTGCTGCTCTAAAACATAAATGGGTGGAATGTGTTTATTTGTTCGATATTTGGAATAGAAATTTGACCCATCATAATTTTGAAATACTGGCGTCATTTTAAAATAATGCAACCCTAGTGACCATGCAGGCTAAGGCGGGCATGTCAAACTGGGGCCCCTCCAGGCCAAAGTCTGAATTCAGTTAATGAAGGCCTTGCTAATTAGCTGATGAGCTGAATCAGGTGTGTTTAATGAAGTAGTGGGCTGAAGTCTGCAGTGTTTTGGCCTGCGAGCACGGAAGCTTGACTAAGGGTAACAGACACAGGTACTCAACCAACATGGGTAGTTCTGAGTTCGGTTTTTGTAACTGTACTGTGCTGTATCGTACTGCTCCATGGAAAAATGCCATATGTTTGCTTATGTTTGTATTTAATGATGTTTATATTTAGATCTTATAGACCAATATATCAAGCAGTATTAAGGTTTTACAGATTTATTGCAATTTGTTGTGGGATTGCATGGATAAAAAAAAATAACAGTACAAGAGTTAATTATTAAAGACCAAACAAAGGAGAAGAATGCTGGAGGGCTCCTGCACTATAACATGAATATTATTTAAGACTTTGTGAGTTTTTGCTGCTCATTTGAATGTAAGAAATGTCACAATTCACAGTTGACAGCTGCCAGTCATATAAGCAACGTTTTAGCTACTTTACATGGTCATAATCAATAACATTTTTTTTTATATTCATTGGGTCCCAATCTCTGGTAATTCTGCATGAATTACTCATAGAAGCTAAGAAAATGTTGAAATGCTGTAACCTTGTAAAGACGTGTAGATATATAATGTGCTCCTTGTCTCTGTCATTCTTTCTGTAGGCCAAGGCTGCAAGCACAGAGGAAATTTGCCCAATCTCAGCCAAGCTCTCCCAATGCAACTCCGGTTAAACTACTGGAGGCCATGCCACCCAGCCCTAGCCTTCCTTTCAGTGATCTCACCAAATGCAAACCCAAAACAGAGGACTTCCTCACCTTCCTCTGTCTAAGAGGTAAGTCTGTACGGACAGAAGAACGGCTGGATGTCAGAACTGCTGTCTCACATCTACGCTGTAAAAAATGTGACAAAAAGAATCAGCATTATGTATTTGGATACAGTGCCCTCCACAGATATTGGCATCTTAGTAAACATGAGCAAAACAGGCTAGTAAAAACCTGCTTTATTGCTTTTGATCTTGCATTCAAAATAATGACAAAAATCTAACTTTTATTTGAAGTACAATGATTGAAAGAAAAAAGTTAAAACTCATGATGAAATAAATGTTTTTCTCAAATCTGTGTGCCACAATTTTTGGCATCCCTTTATTTAATACTTTGTGCACCCTCTCTTTGCAAAGATAACAGCTCTACATCTTCTTCTCTAATGCTTAATGAGACTGGAGAACATGAAGCAAAGGATCTGAGACCGTTCCTCCACACAGAGCCTCTCCAGAAGCTTTAGATTTTAAGGTCCACGCTTGTGGACTGTCCTCTTGAGCTCATCTCATAGGCTTTCTAAGGAGTTTAGGTCAGGGGACTGGGATTGCCATGACAGAACCCTGATTCTGTTGTCAGTGAACCATGTTTTTGTTGATTTTGAGGTGTGCTTTAGATCATTCTGCTGCTGGAAGATCCATCCGCATCCCAGTTTAAGTTTTCTGGCTGAGGCAGTCAAGTTTAGATTTAACTTCCATCCATAATAACATCCATGAGTCCATGATACCGTTTATCCAAACAAGCTGTTCAGGGCTTTTGGAAGAAAAACAGCCCCACAAAGTCATAGATCCACCACCGTACTTAACAGTGGGGATGAGGTACTGTTCTGCATGGCTGTCTTTGTGTCTGTGCCAAACACACCTCTGATATTTGTTGCCAAAAGCTCTATTTTGGTCTCATCTCACCATAGAACATGGTCCCACTGCTTAGGTTTGTTGGTCCTTGACAGCAGAAGCTTTCTTCAGGTAAAACTCCCAGACAACCTGTGGTTATGTAGGTGGCATCTGATTGTAGTTAGGAGACGTTCTGACCCCAAGACCTAATGTCTCCAGTTCCGCAGCTATCTTTGGTTACTCACCGTGCAAGGGGTCTGTATGGACATATGTCCTCTTCCTGGCAGATTCTTAACATCTCAAGTTGCTATAAACTTCTTAATTATTGCCCTGAAAGTTGAAATGGGCATTTTCAACTATTACCTATTTTCTTTTTGCCATTTCCAGATGCATGCAGCTCAACAGTGCTATATTCTCTGGTCTTTCTCATAGTGAAGGGATGATTTAGGGAATTTGGCCCGTGTGTCACCGGGTATTTATTCCCCAATGAAACTGGAAGTCATGGCTGTGACAATTTAAGTGTTCTTAATCGCTTAGGTGAACTTTAAAACATAAAATATGAGAAGGAAAATACTTCATTTTGCTCAGAAGAATTTCTAAAGGTGCCAACACTTGTGGCACACTTTCTTTATTTGAAAAAAAAGAATGTATTTCATGGTAAGATTTAGGTTTTTTCTTTTAATCATTGTATTTAAAATAAAGGTTAGATTTTTTTTTACATGACAAATTAAAACGATAATTATGTTTACAGTGTGTTTTGCTTATGTTTACCAGGGCATCAATAATTGTAGAGTGCACTGTATTTAATTACTTAATCTAACCTTAAACCTGAATCTTATGAAATAAGTATTTTTCTCAAATTTCTGTATGCCACAATTGTTGGCACCCCTAGAAATTCTTATGAGTCAAACTTAAAGTTTACCTGTAGAAGACGAGTCCCCATCAGTGTCCATCCTGTACCAGTTAGCTCCAGTTTTAGCTCATTAGCCAAATAACTGTCAACTCTGATGGAGTTTCGAGCATCAAAATTAGTCATAATGTGCATCCCTAGTAGTCAGGAATTGATTTCAGAGGGGGGTTAATTATGTCATTTAAATTCGTAAATGCAATGTGCTCAGTGTGGTAAATTGTTTGTAGCTGGCTACACGTGGTTGTAGTGGTGGCATTTAGATTGATGCACAATATAGGAATGTGGGCTGATGCCAATATCTGACATTTTTCATGTGCAAATCTAGTGATGCCTATACTGGTACATAAACATTTACAAAATGTAGTAATTGAGACTACATACACCCTGGTTAGCATTAAGAGAGTTGTAACATTTATTTATGAGGGGTCACAAATTCAGTAAAATGAATAAAATGCAGATTTTACTTTTGTTAAAGTTGGGACAATAAAGAAAATGCAATTAAAAAAAGTGATTTCAAAAATTTACTTTAACTTGTATTTCATTGCCGAGACTATAAACACAAGATATGTCATGTTTTGTATTGTGTGAATATACATCCATTTCTGCCATTCAGCCCTTCAACCCATTCCAAAATTGTTGGGGCAATTTAGGGCTAGTAATGAGGTAAAGAAATTAAATAGTTGTATGATTTGAAACAGGTGATGTCAACAGGTGATTGTAATCATGATTTGGTATAAAAGCAGCATCCTTGAAATGCCTAGTCCTTTAGGAGCAAAGATCACCAGTTTAACAGGAAACGCATGAGAAACTTATTGAAATGTTTTTAAACAATGCTCCTCAGAGAAAGACGAGAAGGGATATGGATGTTTCATTCTCTACAGTGCATAACAAAATTAAAAGATTCAAGGAATCTGGAGGAATCTCAGTGCACAAAGGGCACAAGCCTAAGCTGAATAACTGTGCTTTTTGATTCCTCAGACAGCGCTGCATCAAAAATTGTCATTAATCTATAAGCGATAGAACCACATGGGCTCTGGATTACTTTGGCAAACCTTTTTCAAGCATTACAATACTTAATTACATCCACAAGTGTCAGGTAAAACTTTACTGTACCAAAATCTAGCATTATGCTGACCGCGTCCAGAAGCGCCAAGATGAAATCTTTGCCAGGGATGCCCATGTATATTTCAACAAGACAATGCAACCACATTCTGCACACATTACAAAGACTTGGCTACAGAAGAAGAAGGTGCAGGTGCTGGATTTGCCTGCCTGCAGTCCCGTCCTGTCCCCAATAGAAAATGTATTGTGCATTTTAAAATGCAAAAGGCGACAACGAACCCTCCATACTGTTGCACACTTTACAGCTTGTTTGAAGGAAGAATGGAACAAAATTGCACTTGAAATGCTTCATCACTAAAGTGTTGTGAAAAGGAATAGAAACATTACAAAGTAATAAATGCTTTACTGTCCTAACTTTTTTTGAAATATGTTGTAAGAATCAAAATAAGTTTTCATTTTGGGAAAAAAAACAGTAAAAATCACAATTTAATATGTTATTGTATTGTTTTCAATGTAATACAGGTAAAATAAAAAAGACAAATCACTGTTTTCAGTTTTAATTTAAATTTAATATACTGTCCCACCTTTTTCTGATTTAGGGTTATAGTTTTGGTCAAATTTAACAACCAAAAGTAATCACAAAAAGCACAAACAAGTAATCATAAAAAAGATTTAATGTGATGTGAGCAAGTTATTGGGGAGACATGCACCCCTCGCCCCCCTAAATCTACATCTATGTTTTGTCCAGGGACAAAAAAGAGAAATCAGTGGTTTGATGTGTCAGTTACACAGTTGTATGAAGTTGTATAGATTCCCTACAGGGAACGTCTGAACATTTTAGTGCACAATTACTGATTATTTGCTCAATTTAACATACTGGGAGAAAAAAACTAAAACTAAACTGAAAAAATAAATAAACAAATACATTTCAGCACCCTGACTTAAAACACCTTCCTGTGTTGTGCTGCTACAGTTAACGGTGAGTCGTCCAGATTGGTTACTTCTGAGTCTCACTGCAGCAGCTGGTAGCCAGTAAAATGTAATTAAACAAGCTAACGAACATGACAGGTTCATTTGATGTGTGTCAGAGGAAGGGTTGTTTAAATATGCAGCACTCGTTAACGATGCTTTCGCTGCCCTTTTATGGACATCAGTTTAGCCCTGCACAAAACAACATCATTTGACATATTATAGGTGACATAATTGCTGTGTTTACATCCTTAAATAACTGCTTGGAACTGTCATGAAGTATTTTTGATTCAACTTTGAAAATCCCCCCACACACAAGCACAGCTATGCCTCTGGCTAACAGATTTGATTGCCACTCATTCAGTGCTGTTGATTGCAGTGCTATGTACTGGCTGCTGTCCCAGCTGTGCAGCGCTGCTACTGCCTGTCTGGCAGCGTTGTGCTTAGCACTGAGCCTCAACATCTAAATCTGTTTAACCTCACTCCTCTCTGTCTCTCAGGCCCCGAGAGCTAGTGGTTTGTTTTTGTGGCTTATCTGATTATTCTAGTGGTGGACGCATTGGAATGTCCTTCCTCTTGGGCTCCCAGCCACTCTAGGCCTTATGACCTACTATTCACCCCAACAGAGCAACTGCCTCCCCTGGTTCAGAGAAATCTGGTTCAGCTCCATCACAATTTGACTTCTTTGAAGAAATGAGTTGAAGTCCCACCTAATAGTGTTCGGTGCAGCCAAAAACTTGTATCACGGTATACATAGGCACCTGAGCAATGGAGTAAGTGGAGCATGAGCAAAAAATTGACTTCCAGTGGAAATAACTATGTGAGCACAAGTTTACAAGTTTAACTCATAAAATTATATTTTTTATGTAATTTTATTATTTTTTCATATATTGCTGAGATATTTAATTAGAAGTCTATTGATTTAAAAGCCCATTCCTGCCAGCTAGCGAAATAAAATAAGTCCTGTTTTTCAGCTATGTATGTTTACAGAAATCATGTGGGTTATTTGGGTGGCTGTTGGGTTGTTTGTTAGCTATGTTAGTCTCGCTGCTTCAGTTTTAAACTAAAGAAGAAAATTTTTTATTCTAAACATTTAGAGGTGGACAATTGTATAGTTTGATTTTTTCAGTAAACCAAGACTTATTATTTTTAATGTCTTATTTTCTTGTGATTTTGGCTAATTATGTTGAAATTGTCTTTATTTCTCAAGATTTAGTTTGATTATATCAAAATAATGGCTTAT